AATTATTTGAGATATTGTAAAATCATTAAATTTTGTGGGTGTTTTATGGCATAGAGAGACCCACAAATATATGTCCTCCACGAAATGTAAAATTCAAATATATAACAACTTTTAAACAATATAAAAGCTTTTCTTCATTCACAAAGAAAATCCCCTTTACCAACTAATTTTTTCTTCAAACCACGAAAAAATTACCCCACGAAAAATAGGTGATCTTTCACATGTTTACCCCTTTATCCCGTGGATATCACTCATTGGATATATATTTTTTTTTTTTTTGATATCCCACAGATATGATGTCACAATGGGTTTTAGCGTGAGAGTGGAGAAGTAAAATGAAGTAGATTCCTATATAAAAACAGTGTAAAACATTGATTGTGATGTATAAAACATAGGATAAAAAGAATCTTCCATGATTTGTGGTTGGATATGAATTTTATCCAACTCGTTGTGAGTTTTTTATCCCCTCGCCAAGGCTCGGGAGTAAAAAAAACACACAACTGGTTGGATAAAAATCATATTCAAGCACAAACCATGGGAGTACCTATATATACATTACATATATTTTTAGTTTATTGTTACTGTAACAAGAGGCCCAAGGTCCTTAACGGTCACCTGAGTATAATACAACAATTTAGAAGTTAAATACACTGACAGATGAAGCTTTGTTGCTCTAAAGCAAGAGAAGTAGGAAGATCAGGATCAACAAAATAATTAGTCTAGTATTCACTTAAGTTCTAATCTGTCCCCCACTTAATATTATCACCAAGCAGACTATTAACAAACTATTAGTGCTTCTGTACTATTTTTAAACCCATGTTAAGACCTCTAGCATTGACCTCTCTTATGGTCTTTGAAGAACTTTTAATAAGATAAGTTATTTTTGTCTCATTTTTATTTATCTATTACTTACAGGTCTGCCTGATTATTAAAACTAAGAAAGTACTTTTTGAATTATACGATAAACATTCTTGCATAATTATCTTATTCTATTAATCTTTCAAATACATTATTTACAGTGATTAATTATCAAAGGTGAATGGAAAAGGGGAATAACTTCTCTCAGTAGAATACAAATTAATAGAGCCTGTCCAGGACCAGAATGCTTAGACAAATTGTCCAGATGTTCAAAAATCTGGTAGAAATACGCTTACTTATATCATTTAAACTTTTACTCAGTTTGCTTTCGATATGCCCAGAAGCAGAGAAGAATTTCACAGGTACAATGCATTTTCAATACAGATTCAACAAAGCCTTACCCTAACACCAGAACCCAAGACCAAAGGTCAAGAAATTTACAAATTTGGAAGAGTTACCCTCATCATCATAACTATGGACTTCAAAGAATTAACACTTTTCCACTATATTATCAAAAGCCCCCCCCCCCTTCCTCGTTATGCCAGAACCCCTGACCATAGGACCACAAGATTTAAAAATTCTGTTCGAAGCTCCCATCTTCATCATAGCTAAGCAATTTATTTATTAGCTCAACACTAAGGAGCAGACAGGATTAGTTAATGATTAATTAATAGAATTAATGCATTTTCACTATATAATCAATAGAGCCCCCCTCCCCCCCCCCTCCTCAAGAACCCCAAAAACTGAGGCCATGTATTTAAAAATTTTGGAAGAGGCATCCTTGCCTATCATAATCATGCACTTAGTTTGTTTAAATAATCTCCAGTAGCAAAGAAGAAGATTTTCATAGAATCAATGCATTTTCACTATATAATCAATAGAGCCCCACCCTAACACCGGACCCCCTGACCCTGGGGCCATGAAATTCACAATTTTGGAAGAGGCACTCTTGCTCATCATAACTATGTACTTAGTTACTTTATTTAATACCCAGGAGCAGAGAAGAAGATTTTCAAAGAAATAATGCACTTTCACAATATGATCTATATAGCCCCACCCTGGGGCCAGAACCCCTGACCCTGGGGCCATGAATTTCACAATTTTGGAAGAAGCACTCTTGCTCATCATAACTATGTACTTAGTTTGTTTACATAATCTCCAGTAGCAGAGAAGAAGATTTTCAAAGAATCAATGCATTTTCACTATATAATCAATAGAGCCCCACCCTAACACCAGAACCCCTGACCCTGGGGCCATGAATTTCACAATTTTGGAAGAGGCACTCTTGCTCATCATAACTATATACTTAGTTACTTTATTTAATACCCAGGAGCAGAGAAGAAGATTTTCAAAGAAATAATGCACTTTCACAATATGATCTATATAGCCCCACCCTGGGGCCAGAACCCCTGACCCTGGGGCCATGAATTTCACAATTTTGGAAGAAGCACTCTTGCTCATCATAACTATGTACTTAGTTTGTTTACATAATCTCCAGTAGCAGAGAAGAAGATTTTCAAAGAATCAATGCATTTTCACTATATAATCAATAGAGCCCCACCCTAACACCAGAACCCCTGACCCTGGGGCCATGAATTTCACAATTTGGGAAGAGGCACTCTTGCTCATCATAACTATGTACTTAGTTACCTTATTTAATACCCAGGAGCAGAGAAGAAGATTTTCAAAGAAATAAGGCACTTTCACTATATGATCTATATAGCCCCACCCTGGGGCCAGAACCCCTGACCCTGGGGCCATGAATTTCACAATTTTGGTAGAGGGCTCAATGCTTATTACAATGATGCCAACAGTTTGACTGCTTGATGTCCAGGAGTAAAGAAGAAGATTTTTAAAGATTGCATTATTTTTGGTGGTTTTAGCCCCACCCCTCAGGCCCCAGGGGGGCAGGGACCATGAATTTCACAATTTTTGTTCCCCTTCACCGATAGATGCTATATGCCAAATTTGGTTGAAATTGGTTAAGCGATTTCAGAGAAGAAGCTAAAAATGTTCAAATGTTAACGCACGACGCACGCCGACGGACGAGAACGGATAGCAATAGGTCACCTGAGTGACTCAGGTGACCTAATAAAAAATGGAGACCCCATGCTCATTAATGTGTGAAGTGTTGTATGACCACATGTACTTGAAGATGGCATATTTTAGAGAGCAATGTTATTTTAAATATTTTTGTGAAGGTTGTAATTGGGGGAAAATTTCATTTTTTCTCATATGCTGAGACATATGTATTTTTAAGTATTTGGTGTTATAAATAGAAATGGAAATAATCTCCGCAGATTATTTTGCATTTCAGCTAATGCTCTCTTGTTCTTGTCAGTCATTACATTAATAATAGTTAGTCTGCAAATTGAGCATTCCTTATGTTAGAAATAGGGCAAAAATCTATATTTCCTTGATTATTTCCAATATGTCTATTTTTAGACATACACGTATGTTGCTATAAATAGAAATCGAAACCTCCGCTGATTATTGTGCATTTCAGTAAATGCTTTCCAGTTCTTGTCATTCACCTTTTGTCAATAACAGTTAGTAAAAGTTAATCGGCAAAATGTCCATTCCTAGTGTGCGAAAATCTATATTCCCTTGATTTTTTGCAATTTGTCTATTTTTACACATGTGTTGCTATAAATAGAAATTGAAACCTCCACTGATTATTCTGCATTTCAGTTAATGCTCTCTTGTACTTGTCGGTCACCTGATGTCAATAACAGTAAATAGCAGTTAGTCTGCAAATTGTCCATCCCTAATGTGAGAAACAGTGCAAAATTCTACATTTTTTCAATAGTTATAAAACGTTTGTTACTATAAATAGAAATGGAAACCTCCGCTTATTATTCTGCATTTCAGTTAATGCTTTCTTGTACTTGTTGTTCCCCTTATGTTATTAACAGTTAATAGCAGTTTGTCTGCAAATTGTCCATCCCTAAAATGAGAAAATAGTGCAAAATTCTACATTTTCTTGATAATTTGTAGAATGTCTATTTTAAAACAATTGTTACTATAAATAGAAATGGAAACCTCCGCTTATTATTCTGCATTTCAGTTAATGCTCTCCTGTACTTGTCAGTCACATTATGTCAGTTACAGTTAATGACAGTGAGTATGCAAATTGTTCATCTCTAATGTGAGAAATAGTGCAGAAATCTACATTTCGTCATTAATTTCCCATGTGTCTATTTTTAGACATTTGTACTATTTATAGAAATGAGAGCCTATCCTCAATAATGTGTGAGTTATTGTATTATCCCTTGTTCTAATTGATGAAATATTGGTGAGAGCAGTATGTTTATCACTTATGTTTTAGTGGAGCTTCTAAATGATAGAAAATAGTCATTTTTACACATATTATGAGACATGTCTATTTTACGGCATTTGAAGCTATAAATAGAAAACGGAACTCCCTTCAAATAATATGCATAGTAGTTATTGGTGTCCAGTTTCTGTCATTAACATATTGACTTTTACAGTATATTTCTTAAATACCTAACAATGGCATCTTAAACTCTGCCAAAATTTGATTTTTTAGATTTTTCTGAAATATGTCTATTTATAGATACATGTTACTAAAAATAGTATTGAGATCCCACTCCAATTTTTTCATGAGGTGACACTCCTAATTCTGAAGTATGAAAACACACATAAGATTTGAAAATTTTCCATAGACAATTTTTTTTATTTAACCTTAAAGTTCTCAAAAAATACCAAATTTCCCATTTTACACATTTTCAGAAACTAGGTCATTTTACAGGACCTTTTTCTTAGAGTGGGAATAATTCTGGAATAACCGATTATATGCCCTGTATACCTTAAAAGTTGATGTTTTCTTATGATACAATGATTTATGTTTGAGTTTACTACGTAAAGATAAAAATTCATTTACATTTCCTCAATTTTCATGTTTTCATTTGGTCAAAAAGGGCCAAACATGGCCAAATTCAATGGATCCATCTCCATGGCAACCGGGTGCACGTGTGAAACTTCTAACACCATATTTGCTAGTTTTGTGCCAAGATGCACCTGTGGTGCAAATTTCATCAAAATCGGAGAGATGTCGTTTCCAAGCCCTATAGTAATTTTTTTGGTGCTTACAGAGAATGCATGTTAAATCATGTTTGTAGACGCAACATTTAAGATCAATCCATTGAAACTCTGCAAATATAAGATCCTTCAGGGAACAAAGAATGGAAAACAGAAAGCTGTGGTAACTAACAGATTGTTTACAGTTAAATGTAAAATACACGTTTAAAAGAAATTAATTTTATATTTTTATGATAATTTTCTTTTGTGGCGAAATTTATGATGTTATATAAACATTCGATTTATATACATATATATTAATTGCTGATTGTTATTTTTTTCCTTGTGTAGGAAGCATGTAGAAAGATAAATGGTTCTCTTTTAGAGATTGAAACAGAAGAGGAACTCAGTCTTATTGTGAATAATATAACTATCATTCAAGGTACACCGAGTTTTCAAATACCCATAAAGAATTGCATATTTTTTCCTTATGATAGCACTCGATTCCTTTTATTTTGTTTGAATAGGTAAACTTTAATGTCCAAACATTATTTTAATTACAGATATTTGCATTTTGAAAACTCAGACTTGATGCCTATCATGAAATTCATATATATGGCATAAATGGCACTAGAAAGCAAATATATATATATATATATATATATATATATATATATATATATATATATATATATATATATATATATATATATATATATATATATATATAAAGTTTTACGTGGTACAAAGTGCAAAGTGATTTGTTATCTGACTGCTGTGAAATTGCTTTTTCAAAAAACAGTGGATTTCAGATATTTTTCCATTTACTAAAATATTTTTCGTTTATATTTCCATTCAGGCTACAGGAAAACCCCACCCGTCTTTCCATTTTATCTGGGAGCAAACATTATTGAAGATCAATTTGTGTGGGAAACAACCAATATGAGCATTGATTCATCATTCCTTCAAGTGAATCTAAATAAACAAGAAAACTATAAGTGTCTTCTAATGGATAATCAATCAGGCTCAGTGAACTTAAAAAAATACCTTTGCGAAGAGGTAAAAACTGTTCTTTGCGAAATGAAATCTTGTTAAATAAAACACATTCCTTTTCCCCTCAAGATTGTCTCTCCATAAATAAAGCGAAAATTCTAATATCTAACTTATACTTGAGAAGCTTAGTGTTCACATCGAAACAAAGTATAACAGCGTATTTGAGAATACTACCACTTATACGAGCCTGGTCTCGAATAAGTGAGTTTATTTCAGTAACCCTATTAATATTTATCTATTCCGGATAAGTTACGTATATTCGGATATATATAAATTTTCACCCTTAGTCACAAGCTATCATTCCGGATAATTTAAATCAATTTGTATATAATCTAATAATAAGTTCTTTTCTACCTCCTTTCTCAAGAATCGAAAATCGAAAGTCATGGAAAATTTTTTGGAGTTGAATTGTGACAATGTTTTAAATTTTAAAATTAAATAAGTTTGATTTTTAGTATAACTATTGAGGGTTGTAGTTTCAAAGCAAATTAGACGTATCAATGGCGAAATTTGACTTTGGCCTGATTGGACTTTTTCGTAACTGATTAATTTTTAGGCGATATTGTAATGTGTGAGTTACAGATAACAGGAATAAATTAAAATCAGTTTGGGGTCAAAGGATCGTTTAACTTGAGTTATTATTTTTAGGAGCGAAATGTTAAACTTCAAGTTCATCATAGCTATAACGGGAGGGGGGGGGGATAAAACAAGGAATATTCTAAGAAGCCGGGCATACTAGACGGATTTTAGTATGTTTTCTACATAGATTTATCGTGCTCGAAGGAGGTATATTGATTCGCATTTGACAAAATGTAATCGTTGTTAAATCGGATAAAGCATTCACGAGAACTTTTTGAAGTAATCAAAGTACTGTATGTACTGAGAGGAGGTTTATCAAGTTGTATTTAAGTGTTATGCTCTGTTTGCAGACTTGTATCATTTCATTTGTTTTTTGGTCTTTTGAAAAAGTTTGGAACAGTATTGTTTCTTATCTTTTCCTATTTTTTTAATACATGTTATCCTGGCATTTACATAGAACATTTTACCAAGAGAACAAAAAGGTCTAAGGTTTTTATAGGTGATATTGTATGAACTGATTTTCCTATTACATAATGGGAGGGGAGTCAATTTGTATATTATGTTACACAACATTTGGGAACTCATGTGGTCCACATGGTCAATTACTGCATAAAAATCCTACTAATAAAAGCAAAATCGTAGTTTATTGAAATAGGATGAAAACATTTCTTATTAATTTTGCGAACATTTGTCTCACAGTGAGCAGTCAAACCGCAGCGAAGCTGTGGAAATGTATTCTTCATATGCTTTAGAATAGGTATGCAAACTTGTAGGGTTCAGACACAAGCAAGGAACAAATTATATTGGTACAAAAGGTAGTAAGTACAATAAAAAACCTGATTGACTCGATGACAGAACGATCAAACCGTAATACTTGAAGGACTCTGATGTACAGTGTTGGGACAGTTATTGGGTGACGGATTTCATGCTCATAAAGGTTATCATTGAGGTCATTTGAAATTCTCTCCATTCCCTGCAGCTGGACAAAAAAGTTAGTGGATTTATATGAAAGACCAGAAAAGCAGAGGAAAATATCTGACGGTAGATATATCTTTCCAAATATTTCATTGACTTTTTTAATACAAATTAGTTTACTTTAGTTAATCAAAGGTCCTACTCTAAATACGCTGAAATTCGCGGATTACCAATATCACAGATGAATCTACCGTTGTCTCGCTTCTAGACAAGCTTTGAGCTATAAACTTAAAAGCAAAATACTTTTATGAAAAAAAAGTAAGACACCTAGTAACAAACAAAATGATCAGAATCCTTAAATAAATAGATTCACGTGTATTGAACCCCTGAGAGCAATAAAGTTTTGCCTAGAATTCTTTTGAATTATTAAGCTGCTCTGAAATGCCTTTATGTCATACTTTATATATACTAGAAATAATTGAAACAAGAAGCCCATGGGCCACAACGCTCACCTGAATAACCTTGGCCATGCTTTTCTTCACCAGATTTCCCCCTTGTAATACCTATTGTTGCCCCGCCCTACCCCCGTTGAACATGATTTGAACAATTTAGAATCTACACTACCCCAGGATGCTTCCACATAAGTTTCAGTTTTTCTGGCCCAGTGGTTTTTGAAACGAGGGTTTTAAAGATTTTTTCCTGTACATTTCAATGTAAAAATGGGATTCCTTATCGTGGTCCCGCCTTACCCCAGGGGGTCATGATTTGAACAATTCAGAATCTACACTACCTCAGGATGCTTCCACATAAGTTTCAGTTTTTCTGGCACAGTGGTTTTTGAAAAGAAGATTTTTAACGATTTTTCCTAATAGTATATATTTCAATGTAAAAAAATGGACTCCCCATTGTGGCCCCTCCTTAACCACGCGGGTCATGATTTGAACAATTTAGAATCTACACTACCCCATGATGCTTCCACATAGCTTTCAGCTTTTCTTGCCCAGTGGTTCTTGAGAAGAAGATTTTTTAATGAACCTAACCTATTTTTGTCTTTTCTCCCCTTGTGAGGGGACTTGTCCCTTCATTTTAGCAATTTAAACTCCCCTTTCCCCAAGGATGCTTTGTACAGCTTAAGTTAACATTGATCAAGCGGTCGGATTTTGAGAAAAAGTTGAAAATATGAAAAGCTTACAGACGGACGGACGGACGATGGACAATGGGTGACCAGAAAAACTCACTTGAGCTTTCAGCTCAGGTGAGCCTAAAAGAGAGATTCGTGTGCAAAGTTTGTAAAAACCGAGGTCACATGCCTGGCCATCTAACGTGCACTTGATACGAACACCAAGTAAAGGTTGTAGCCTTTGACAGTGATAATCACATTTTGTAAAAATTCTTTCCTCCGTGACCTTAATATTTTTGAAGTGTATAAATCGGCATACCACACATTTCACTATACAAAAGATCTTAGATGTGGAGACTTGGACGCCGCAAAATCTATAAAGAGGCAAAAAATGCACTTTCCGCCAAACGCATTGGCGATAAAGTGAAAGTAAATGATCAGTGGAACGAGAAAGATGTGCGAGTCTGTAATGACAGATATTAAAAACAAATGCGTTCAAGTAAAGAAAAAACTCTTAGAAGGGTTTTCACATGTAATAAACTAATAAGCAGTTCAAAAGATTTCATGGTAATACATGTATGTGATGAAATGACAATTTAAATGCTTTTTCGTTAAATAAATTAATGATTTCTATAACCTGTTGCAGCTTAATTTCTATTTTATTTCGACTTTTGAAAAAAAAAAAATTAATTCAATCATACAATCAAATATAGACTAAAATTATATGAAAAATAATAAATTTTGCCATTACCCTTTACTTTATTATTTGACTTACTACATGTATCCCTTGCATAGCCTGTGACTTGGAAAATGTTATTCTGTTCTGAATTTCATAATTGACGAATTGCCGAGTTTGTGCTCATCGACAAGTGGGAGATGGGACTTGACAAAACCGGTATAGAAAAACTTCAGATTGATTTGGTCAGAGCCTGTTAGGAGTATCTTAAGTATAGTGGATAAAAAAATTAGAAACCGTTAATGAGTGATCAATGGAGTTAGCCTTAGCAGAACTCGTTTGCTCTGGAGTCGCGAAGTCAGGAGTTGATCCTTACGTCGCGGGTTCGAATCCCACTGCGGGACGTGGAGACCGGTCCTTCAAATGAGACCTTATAAACTGAGATCCCGTGTCGGAGTAGGTGCTAGTACGAACAAAATTCCTTACTGCTTAACGGCCGTACGTTCCGAGTACAGGTCTAAATTTGTAGCCCTCCACCGCCAAGTGGTGGCGTCTCAATATGAGTAAAAAATTCTCGATGAGATATTAAGCAAACAAACGAAATCTCCGCAATTGAACGGACTTAGTCTGGACTTCAATACCTGCGGTATAGCTAATTTACATATATATAGGATTTTTCTTATTAGGCAATAATATACATTTTATACTGTTTATTTGATATTACATTACATGAAATTAATTAATTTTTGAAAATAAATTAAATTTTATTTCAGAAAATATTACACTCTATGCTATTTGAAAAAAAGATACATGTAGATATTGCACTTTTTCAAGAAACACATTTTTACCCAAAAATTTGTATTTAGGCATAGTCTCGAATGGTAGGAAAAAAAACATATCATTCTTACAGTGATTCTGTATTTAGAGAGGTTGTAACCATTCTATTGAGAGATATCTCTATATAATGATATATACCATATAACAATGCTTATGTGAGTAAGCGGGAAAAAGGGATTTATCTAGTATTTGTGTACATTGTAATAAAATAGAAAATGTGGAACACCTGTTTTTTGTAAATGTTATCGTGCAGCCTTTTTAGTATTTGAATACAGTGGAAACACATTTTCCCCCATAAAAACAGTTAAACTGAATACTACATATATTATGTAAATAAATCATTTTGTTTTTTACTCTTTGGTATTACGCTATCTAAATGTAAATATTGAGCAAAAGAGTTTTGAAAATCTTTTTAAAATGATATTATACTGCTATATTTATTATATTGTACCACAATACTGAGAAGAGACCTGTCTTCCGGTAGAGATGTCGTTAAGGGGAACAAATAGACTGTGACACGTAATTATGACTTCTTCTATCGACAGCTACATGAAGCAATGATTTACATATTAATTAGTACTGAATGTTCGTTTTTTTTTTTTTTTTGGAATATATGTAGTAAAATATTTATGTATACAAGTATTTAATTTTTAATCTCATGAATATGTTTTCTTATCTAAAATTTGAACTTCCTGTGAGATGTCATAGAGACAAAACTATTATTGTTTAGAAGGAGAATATAGTCAGGACTCTATACCTAGCAGCTGCTTTATTATTTTTTAGATGTTAATGTATAAATGCTGTTATATGTGAGAATCTTGGAAATAAATGGGAAAAATATTAAAAACTGATATATGATTTTGCAGAATTTCCTCCTTAGAAAGAGAAATATGAGTATCTCAAAGCAACAATACCAAATTAGATTTCAAAAGGACATTGTAATATTAATACTAAGACACAGTTTTTACACAGACTATAAAAACACTATCAAAAAGGCTTAACCTGGTATCAAAGTTCACACAATGTAGAAATATACAATTCAGTATTATTTCCATATTCAAATAATTATTGAAAACAAAATTATATGGATTCTTATGCCAAAATATACTAAGCCTTTTTTTACTTTTATTTGGCTGTATGTAGGCCCTATATATAAAGAAACTCAAACAACGTAAGTGTTCTAAACACTGTATGGTTGTATGTATATATAGCAACTCAAACAACGTAAGTGTTCTAGACACTATATGGTTGTACGTATATATAGCAACTCAAACAACGTAAGTGTTCTAGACACTATATGGTTGTATGTACTATATATAGCAACTCAAACAACGTAAGTGTTCTAGACACTATATGGTTGTATGTATATATAGCAACTCAAACAACGTAAGTGTTCTAGACACTATATGGTTGTACGTATATATAGCAACTCAAACAACGTAAGTGTTCTAGACACTATATGGTTGTATGTACTATATATAGCAACTCAAACAACGTAAGTGTTCTAGACACTATATGGTTGTATGTATATATAGCAACTCAAACAACGTAAGTGTTCTAGACACTATATGGTTGTATGTATATATAGCAACTCAAACAAAGTAAGTGTTCTAGACACTATATGGTTGTACGTTTATATAGCAACTCAAACAACGTGAGTGTTCTAGACACTATATGGTTGTATGTACTATATATAGCAACTCAAACAACGTAAGTGTTCTAGACACTATATGGTGGTGGGTCTTCTGTTTCAGTCTCATCTTTCTGTGCCTCGGGTAACATAACTGTTAATCCCTCCGCCCCCATTGTGCTCGTTACAGCTGACTCTGTCCCTGGTATCTGGCGTTGTTGATTAATCAAGGGAGATGCAGGGTTGGTAATGGTATTCTGAGGTGCTGCCAATTGCTGATTTCTCTCGGTGTCACAGGATTGGTAACGGCAATGTGTGGTGCTTGTGTTTGAATGTTTCCCGCTTGTGGGATAAATAGGACTTGCTGACCTAGCAAAAACATGGCCATGTACTCAACTAACAAAATACCAGCTACTAATTTAATCTTTTATCTATATCATGACAAGCACGTACATAAGTTTACCATCTGATGCTAATATATACATATGCACTCTTCTTTAAATTGATTAATTCATAATAATTAAATTCAACAAAAATAATTAGAATGAATGGCTTTTTATGAATTAATAGTGAATGATGGAATTTCCGTTTTGACAACCTGACTGAACGTAAGCGGCATTCGGATGTTGGAGAATAGCTGAGTTGTTTGGTCTACTTTGTCTACTTTTACAGGCAACAAAGATAATTAGAGATACCAGTAGTCCAATTCCAGCAACGGTTCCATAGGCAATTCCAAATCTATCAACTGTTGACCTGAAAAGAAAAAAATGCAAAATGAGATGAAGTAATGCCTACAGACAGGTAGAACTATTCTTAAGGATGGACGTTATAATCATATTTATTGTATTTAAAAATTAATGAAATTTCCAGAGATTCAAGAAGACATCAGAGATTTTTAGTTTGGCTATCTTATTTTAGAAACAATGTCAGGTCAAGGTCATTATCTTTTCCCTGGACACTAAGAATAAAATATTACTGGAAAGAGTCTTTTTATGCCTTCTTATATTTCAAAAGATTATTTTTCTTTCTTTTGCATTAAAAGTTGATATAACGTAGGGTCTATCAGATGACACAACCAATTTGAGATGAATAAATAACTAAAATAGATATTGGGCGACCAGAATTTCCTGTATTTTTTGTAAATTTTAAGGGATTATTATTTTTATTTATACTTGGTATATTTTGTTTTTCTTTAATTTTCACATAGTGTGAAGTACTCATATAAAGGGAAAAAAATTATACAAGCCAAATTTTTGACCGTTTTATAAGAGAGACGGACATTTCTTACTGATTTGTTTTCCTCAAAACTGTTTTAGATATGAAGCTTTCAAAAGCTAAGAAAATTGTAGTTAGTTTGATGTTTTCTATAGTATAAGTTCCTAATCATTAATTTCCTTGACTTAAGAAAATTCCTTTAAGTCTTTGCAATTGATTGTTAAAATATTATGATTCAATTTTAAAAAATTGAAAATGAAATATTTTCATACGTCGTCGGTCCGCCAGAAATATAGTTCCTGGTAGATTTTAAACTCATTTACCATGATTTCTATTTAAATTGCAGAAGGGGAGGAAAACATGTTTTTAAAAAGTCCCAGACATCAAAATATAAAAGACATACTAGTACTATGTACTGTACAAGCAAATGTACTTGGAATATTTCATTTCGTCAAACAGCAGACAAGAATACTTCCTTGATACACAACATTGATTTCACTTTCGGAATAATTACAACCTACCATTTCCTTCTTTATTAGGTCTTTGTTAATTATTTGTATTTCATGGTTCATCAAACACAAAACTGACGTCTTCAATAACTTGTTTTAGAAAATATATTAAAAATAATACAGTACCGCGTAACATTTTTAAGCAGTTATCGCGCATTTTTCATGGGTAGTGTTCATAATGAATCTACTGTATACAGTTGTCATTTTTCTTACAAAAGAAGAACAATTCATGTCGTCGTTAAAGATTTTGCATTCAACGGTGGCAAGAAAAGAAAGCGATAGTTTTACGGAAAAATGTTTCGTAATTGGGTAAATTAAATTTACTCGATTACAAGAAAGTTTAAGTAGAAACAAATTATATCAAAAAATGTGCTTTTCTTATAGATTTGAAATATTTCATCAAGTTTGATATTGAACTTTATGTTTTGTATCGAATGCATGTACAAGTTCATCAAAAATGTCCAGAGTCTAAAATGACGTGAAAAATAAAATCCAACGTTTATTTCGAGGAGTTAAATTGTGTTTTTTCTTCGATTACAAATTATACATATATGTTCATAATGTGCGAATCCAAATGGTGAGAACGAATGTAAGATTGATTAATTTACTCAATTAATTAATATTTTAAACAACACTTAGGATGTTTAACATATTTGTTTTTCTTAAAACATTTTTCACGAAAATGGGTCTAAGAGTGTATAGAGTAAGAGTAATTATAACAATCTTTACCATACATAATCGAAAGCGTTTTTTTTTTTAAAATCATTAAATGACAAGTAGTCTATAAATTTTTACTCATATTTCAAGTTAAAAGAGATAGCGATAGGGCACCAGTCATGCTAGTAGCGGAATTCGTACAAGCGTTACGTCAATACCTCCGTAGAGCTATTAAAGCTTAACGTTATACGTCACCAACATCATGCATAACGTCTCAGTGAATACATTCCATGTCCAGTGAAGTTCATTTTATCAGACAGTAAGCTTTGAGCATATTTCAGAACTTTGCACGGACGCCATCGGACTAAGATGTCCGAATAAAGTACGGAGGTCTGCTTAAAGTACGGTAGGTAAATGTTCCATATTAAACTCATGCACTTCTTCTGAACTTCACCGTCTTGCTTAATTACGTTAGATGTCCCTTGGACGTGAGTAACAACAGGGCAATTACCGGTAGAGAAACGGATAAACGGACACCGGCAGCACGAGCGTTAGTCTTACATTCGAAAACCTTTTTACTAGTTTCCCATGTATTCGACATTCATTTACACGGAACTCATTCGTCATTAAAACGGTAAAGTCCTTTTATGACCATTCCTTGTACTACAAATGTCTGTTTAATGCACCATGTTTGTCCGTTTTATATGCTTCGTGTATTGATTGCAAAAACCTTGAAAAGCGGTGACGGACGACTTTCATAAACGGAAACAAATAAATTGCTTTCTTCCATCCTTTGTTTTTTTATTTGTTTAACGTTCGATACCGTTATCCGGTTTGGTGTGACTGAACTATAAAGAATCCAAGTGTGCATTTATATTATCATAATGTTCTATATGTACCGTGATAATTTAAACATTGCGACATTTTATTCATAGGACAGCAGAAAAACATTTAATGCTATAAAACATTTACATCTAAAAATAAAATATAGATGTAAATTATGTTTGGAAATGAAAAACAAATGATCCAATCAGAATAAATTATTATCCTCCTAGAGTTCGTCTCATACCTCTTGCAAACTCAACACAGATAATAATTGCGTTAGTAGCAACAACTCAATGAATAAAGATTTTAAAAATCCTAATTTTTATTCAGTTATATTTTAAACAACAAAAGTATTTAATTGACGTCCCCATCAAGGATAATTACCTCAGAATTAGAAAAAAAAAAAAAAAAACAACAAACAAACATTAATTAATATATTTCATTATCAAGGAATAATATGCAGACATGTTTGTTTGAATATCATTATACTTTATGAATACAAGTGCAGACTTTAAATTAACAAAATATACTAATTTAAGAGTACTTTGAAGATACTGCCAAAAAAAATCGGGTAATGATGAGGCCCGGTGTAATGTTATTCACACTGAAGAGGATAAGATTGAAAGAATTTGTGGAATATTTAACTCTATTCTTTATTTTAAACTGAAAACAACATGGACATCTGATATCACTGTAACTTGCAATCGGTTTATATAACACAATGCATATGCAACACTGCTGTTTAGAAATATCAATTATTAAAAGATTACTCAAACATATTGGCATACCTTAAACGCTTGTCTGATGTGGACAACATGAATTCCTATGATATAGTTGAGAAAAGTTAGGCTTCATCAACATAAAATCGGAGACCAAGATATGTTGTTAACACGAGGGGACAAGTTGTCTACATGTAAATTGAAAACAACTCACCCTTTTCACTACCCTTAAATACATGTATAATTATATTGAACTACTTAACGTTCTGGAACTAAGACATCATTAATTTGGTACATTCCTAAGTATTAAACAGAAAAAAAAAACTCAAAATGACCCATTTCAGCTGATATTTTCCTTTAGAAAAAACTACGTCTACTGCCATCGATAAATTCAATTTTTTGATATTTACATGTATGTTGTGTGAAGGACAAGATAGGCTAAGACCTCTTTTGGCCCCTGGATTGGAGTGTCTTTTAGAATGATGCAACAGTTTATCAATAAAAACCTGTTGTCACCCCCTCCACAAAATGAGTATTGGTACTAAGTTATGGGAAGCACAGAGGTCACAGGAAGGTCAGAAGATATGTCGTTTTCCGAGTTTTCGCATTTTTATGCAAACTTTCATCGATTTTACACCACATTTTGTTTCAGAAAACATAGAGTACAACTTGCCTATCTTCCAAATTTATATATTTCATACACTAGTGTCAAATGCATCTTGTGTATAAAAATCTCAGATAGGCAAGCTTGTGCTCTATGTTTCCTCCACAGGTACTTGTGGACAGAACCCCCCCCCCCCCCCGATATTCAACCCGGGGCTTGTTGGACATTTTTTTCACAAATTATATTTATTACACTTATTCATCATGTGTACCATAGGAAAAAATCTTGAAAACCCCAAAATAATCGTTCCACTCAAAAATACCACACTATACATTATAAGGGAGAAAGGTATGCCACTCCGGTTTGTTTACGTTGTACCCCCACTGGTCTTTCTGGGTTTAAAAACATGTATTTATTTTATTTTAACCTAAAACGTCGGTTCACACTGTCTCTACATATATTTCTGTCTTAGTTCATGCTATCGGATTGACTCTGCATCTCGTAAGAATCCCACAATTAATCCTTAAACAGCATTGCAGTCAGTGCGTTGAAAAATCCTTAGGTAAACGCAACGGAAGTGCATAGAGAATATATTACCTAATATGATAACACCCGAGAGAGATTATTACGTCAGGTCAAAACTCTCTCGGACGTTATCGTAATAAGTGATACATTCTCTATGCACTTCCGGGATGAATAAGTGTAATGAATATAATTTGTAAAAAAAATGTCCAATTAACAAGCCCCGGGTTGAATATCGGGGGGGGGGGGGGGGTCGGGGGGGGGGGGGTCCTATCCACAAATACCTGTGGTTTCCTCAAGTGAAAAGCATAAAAAAAAATTAACGAAATTCCATCAGAATTGACTAAATCTTGGAAAATGTCCCACTTCAGCACCCTTGTGTCCTCCGTGTAAGCTTTGGATAAAAATTAGTGCTTGTTTTAAAACAAGCATCATTTTAAGTTTTTCACTATAAACTATCGCAATTTTAATTGTGTTCTGATTTTTACATCAAATAAGGGACCAGAATCGGCCATTACCATACCTTGTCCTTTCTTTAAAAAATCACATTGCTCAAAATCTTCGCGGGCGATGCATGTGGTCAATATTATTTGAAAATAAAATCCACTGAAAATTGATATCTTCTGCAACTTTTAAAGAAAAAGAAAATACAGGATAATGCACAGTTCATAACGTCACAATTAGCATTTATGAGGTCATTTTTTTTTCTTTTTGATAGATTCGTTGTCTTATAACAGCACGTAGAATACCGGGAGAGGGAGTAGGACTTGCCCTACATTATTTTTCCGAAAATAGTCTCTTGCTGTTAATTTAGTATGGAATTTCTTTTTTATTAAAAGGCTGGTCCTCCCACTATCTGTTGCAGTATGGACAGACCCCCCACCCACACAAGCACATTAACGAGGTTGGATCCTGATATTTAAAGTCTTAAACTTTTTTGTCAAGTATATTTTTAGTTTCTACACAGCTTAATTAAAAACCAAAACAAAAAATGGGGGTCAATATGCTTCTTTTGGCGCTACAGTACATTTAACATGACCTTTTTGCACTGAAATTTTTGTCTTAATCAAAAATCACATATTCGACCTTTTCCCTCCAATGTTTTTATCCAAATAAATCATGGGACAAAATAAACTATTAGCCTATTTGAAAAAAGATACATTAAAATTGTGACTAAGAAAAAGTTTCAAATTGCTTCGCATAATCAATTATTTGACCTTTCTGCACTCAGAAAATGTGATTTTACTGGCATTAAAAATTTAACAAGCAGGAAAATTATTTTAAAGTCTTAAACTTTTGCTGAATTTAAGCAGATTGATCAAAGTTATCTTATATATTCAGAAAGAAAAACAAAAGTGGGGGGTCTATGATGTAAATTTTTAGATATTACTAAAAAAGTGTTAATTTTATGTTAAAATTGGCTCAATTTTTTCCTGGACTTTCAGAATATATTTACTATATTTGTCACAATATAATGAAAGAATTCATAAGAAATAATTTAATAGATATTTCAGAACCAGAATAAAACATTTCAGTGCAAAAAACAGCTCTGTGTGCAACCAGCATGGAAAAATAGGAATTTAAACTCAACAGTACTGTATATACTTTAAAAGGGAAAAAAATGATCATTTTCTTCTAAAAACCTTCCGCCACAAAATATAGTTCCTGGCTTAATCTTATTTGAATGGAATTTAATCACGTTTTTTTTCATTGGATATAGTTTAATTTGCATTGTAGAATCCAAATTTAATGTTAGAACTTAAAAATGATGCAGAATTTTAGAAATAAAGGTCCAGACCAAAATCTGCTCAAAGGCTCAGGATCGAACCTCCTTAAGTAGATTGTTGAATGCGGAAAGGTTTTTTACTTCAACGTTTATCAGGGAATTCTATTTTTTGGCTAGTCAAAATATTTTTCTGCTCCCTTGCTCTGAAAGTCATTATTTTTTCTGCCCCCTTCCCAAATTTGAATAAAAAAAATATCTGACGTGCCTGCATTATAATAAATAAGAAGAGGAATTGAAAATTTTCAAGTGCAAAATTCAGATGATTTTTGATGAGATGGAAAATGTATATACTAGTATCATCTGCAAATTATTGAACATTTTTACTAACGATGCAAAGAAGAGAGCTTGGGATAACATGCCCGGAAAGGAGAAAAATGTTTTGTGTAAATCATCAGCTCATGCACAGACTGTTGAGGAACAAGAAATTATCGCTTATACTTGGGATACTCAGAAAAATAAGTATCACCACAAACTTAGGATAATCTTAGGACAAGATTTATGTCATTCTAAAGTTAGGAAAAACGTATGGCGAGGTCCTAAATTTAGGAAAACTTCAAGAAACTGAATTAAGACTAAGATATTTCCTAAGACGTTCTTAGGACACATCATAGTCCTAAGAGAGGTTTGTGAATATGTCTGATGGTATACTCAGTAACATTGTCAATATCACACTGTGTGTCGAATACCAAGAAACTGCATTTTCTCGAGCAATGAATCGAACCCTTTTTGTTACTGATATATTGGGAGCGAGAGAGAAATATAATTCAGACTCTGAAAAACAAATAATTATTTCCCTAAACTGCATGTATATCCAACAAACCTTAAGAAAAAAAAACGTAGTATCTTTTGCGAAAAGGGAAGTCAGAAAGTTTCAAAATGTTGAAGGGGGCGAGAGGCAACCGGTCTTTTAATGAAAATTTACGACAAAAGATTATTCTCGAAAAATGGTAAGGGAAGGTGCAAAGCCCCATTTTCCCCCGCTATAGATACTACGTGTTTGAGAGGTAAACATAAACGACAGAATAACATACAAATCTATACTTCAAACAAATACTTACAGAGAATATATACAAACATAGTTGTATCCTGGGTAGTACTCGACGTAGCAGTATGACCCTGCTTCACAGACAAGAGGAAGACAACAAAGCGCTTCAAAACAAACGTAAATTATAAGAACGCAATATTGCTGCGTATGTCCTCATTTTTATACACAGGTATATGTAAATACACCAGGAAAAAAAAAAAAAAAAAAAAAAAAAAAAAAAAAAAATTAATTAATAAATAGAATTGACGGAACAATATTACACATTGAATAAATTATAACTTCATTGTAAAATGACTTAACAGGAGGGTATTTAAAATAGAAAAAAATAGAGCATGGTACACGCTGTGTATATGTTTTACAGAACAAGGAAGTAAAGCCGTCTATTTATTTTGATTCTCAAGCAATGACGTAAAGATAACTTATTGATTCAATATGAAATGATAACGTACTTTGTAGATATAAACATCTTCCTTCATCTCATGTTTGAGATATCATTGTATATATTTACATAATTAATTCTTACCCAAATAAAATGTACTCAACATTTTATATCCTTAATTCGAGATCGTTACACATAGATGAATTCTAAATATAGATAAGATGGTAATTTAAACTAAGGACATCATCACACGTTTATACATGATACCTGTTTTCAGAGAGTATGTCAACTTTACCTTTACAGGTAACCCAATATCAATCCAATACTGCATTAAATTTTACAATCATGCGTACCTGAGTTCTCTTTTTTTTAATGCCGTAAAATTACCAAGAATTAAAAAAATGAACATCTTATTCTCTTATTGGATCCATCTCAATGTGCCTTCATTTCTGTCTCCAGGTAAGTTTTCTGCTACAAAGTCACCATAAACCCTAAACATGTCCTTTTGTACATATTGTCGTCGGCGACAATATGCACTTACATGTGTATCCTGAAAATTATACATGCCTTCTACATATTGTCGCTGGCGACATTATGTATGTACCCTCACTGCACATATTGTTGTCCCACGTTTATTGTTTCTGAATGATTATTTTTCGTAGTTTTGTGAACGTAGTTGATGTGTAAATCACAAAGACTTATCTCGTGGGCTATTTCATGCAGGGCGATTGTGAAGATACATGTAATGTCGTCCTGTACAAATTGTCGCCGGCGACATACCTATGACATTGTTTCAAGTTTAATAATGCATGTACATAGACTCATATTATTCCAATTATACAAAATACCTGTTTGTCCCCGAAGAACATTTTTTAATATCTTATGTTCTGTTAGAAGTTATAAATTATTAACCCAAATCTTTTAAGGGGTAGCGCGGAGCACAAAGGGGGTGAAAGTTTTTACATAGGAATATGTAGGAAAATCTTTGAAAAACCTTCTTGTCAAGAACCGTAAAGCCATTATTAATCACATTAATAAAGAAGCATCCTCAAGTAGTGTAGATTCAAATTTGTTCATATCTTCACCCCGAGGGTAGGAAGGGGCCACAACAGAGGGTCAAAGTTATACATTGGAAAATATATATATATATATATATATATATATATATATATATATATATATATATATATATATATATATATATATATATATATATATATATATATATATACGAAATATCTTTAAAAAAAACTTCCCCTCAAGAACAGCAAAGCCATTATAAGTAATTTTAATACAAAAGCATCCTAAGGTAGTGTAAATTGAAATTTGTTCATATCATGACCCCCGGGGGGTAGGGCAGGACGGGGCCACAACAGAGGACGAAGTTTACAGAGGAATATGTAGGAAATAAATGAATTAAAAATCTCCTTTCAAGAACAGCAAAGGCACTATTAGTCATATTAATATAGAAACATCTAAAGAAAGCTGATCTGGATTGATATAATTTTAAACAGTAATGGCATAATACATGATTGTACGTAGTCTATGTGCTTGAAGAAATTGTTTAAAAAACTTGACATTGTTTTAAAAGGCACCACACAATTTATTTATTTTTAACATAAACGTTTCACGGAATACAAAAATGTTTACAATCTCAAGCAAACAGTAACAAAAAGACACTGTTGATTTAGATAAAATTTTTGCACGCCATAATTATACAAATAGTCTCCAAGGAGAGGGCTTTAACAAACTATCCGGGTCAATTAATAAAATATATAAAACTATAAAACTAAGTATATATATATATATATATATATATATATATATATATATATATATATATATATATATATATATATATATATATATATATATATATATATATATATATATATATATAATGGACCTAGATGTGACATAGTTTGTTAGTTAACAAATATACTGTGCACAGCGTAATTTTTTGTCCTTTCCAAAAAAAACCCTTTTTAAATTCTCCCATACATGGTTGTGCTTACGAGATAACAAGTAATGCTGTCCTCTTTCAATTCACCCCCAGTTAAATTCTCCAACATGCAACGAGGGTGATAAGGGCGAATATAAAAGGGGGCTAAAAATTTTCCTGTACATAGTAAATACATTACAATAAATATTACTTATAAGCTTAATTTTTACATCTCATTAGTATGTTGTCTTCTTTTTCCTGAAATTCGTTCGTTTTGAATTGTGCTAAAAAAGAAATGATTTACAATCATATTCATGTAAAAATAACGTTTTAACAACAATTGTTCATCATTTGGAGTTTCCACAAAAGGTTTGAATATGACAATTGATAATTACACACTCTCTAGTCGATTTATGTCGAGAATGTCAAAGCATAAGACAATCTCAGTATTTTACAGAAATTTAAGAATATTAAAGGTATTATGTGATTAAAGAAGAAGGCACAGTTTTAGCTTCATTGTGCCCTAAAAAATTCAGTGTTTTCAAAAAGTTTTGAAATTGGCTTAAATATTAGTTGAGTATATGACTGTGAAAACTCAGGAAAGAATATTGCATAAAGGAGTACCATTCTGGAGATATGACGTCATTAATTTGATGCCTTTCTCTTAGACTATTTTAGACAGAAAAGTCTCAAAATGACCCATTTCATGGGTAATTTTTCTGAAGAAAATACTGCGCACAGCCGTCGCTCACTTTAATTTTTGGGTATGTTGAGTAAAATTCTTTGAAAAATCACATATCTCAAAATCTTTTCGGGCGATGCCCGTGGACAATATTATCCGAAAAAAAATTCTATTGAAAATTGGTGTCTTCTGCAACTGTTCAAGAAAATACGGGAAAATGCACAAGTTTATGAAGTCACAATTAGCATTTAGAAAGTCATGTGAGAAAAATGATTTGTATGTTCTTACTGCATGGAATTTCAATGATTCAGAAATCATGAGTTTTAATTTTTTACATCACCTTCATTTTTAAGAAAAACACAGGGCAAGATTTGTATTGAAACCGTACCTTGTTCTTTATTGATTGATTTTTTCCCCTTTGTTTAAACACCATAAATCGAAATGCTTCAGTACTTCCAACTATTACAAGATTCTAAACATACTTACTGAAGCATCTCATAGTAATGATACAAAGGTACATCTCAAAAGGGCATTCTAATAATAAGATACAGTATTTGTAGAAATATAAAACACCTTTGAGACAGCTCTAGAACAGGTTTTAATTATTTACCAAGCCCGTCTAATGTATTATTTATGTGTTTCTGTATGTTTCAAAACAAATCCATGCATGATATTTTATTCTGGGTGTTAATTTGTATACCCCCAAAAAGTAAATGAGTGCCTTTACACAATATATGGTGGTGGGCCGTCTGTTTTATTTTTATTTTCTTGAGTGTAGGGTGACATTGGTGAGGTTCCTTCTGCTCCCAAAGTACTTGTAACAGTTGAGTCTGTCCCTGATGTCTGACCTTGCTGGATTGTCAAAGGTATTGCAGGGTTTGTATTGGTAGTCTGTTGTACTGGTGTTAGAATGTTGCCTGGTTGTGGTGTAAATATCACCTGCTGGCCTGTTTAAAAATGGTACATGTACAAAAATTTCCAAACTCCTTTAATTATGTATTTTTATTACGTCATAATTAAAAGCATGTATATGTGAAGACAACAATCTATTAAAATTGTTGATAATATAATACATGTACCTCTGTGTGACAAACTCATTAAACTCATATTTCTTGAGTAAAAAAGGAACAATGCAACAAATTAGGAAAATTAATTTGCGAGATTTTTTCAGTCAATGATTGAAGGATGAAAATAAAAAAAAAACAAAAAAACAAAAAAAAAACAAAAAAAACAAAAAAAACAAAAACTAAACTAAAAAACACCCCTCCCCCCCCCCCCCCAAAAAAAAACCCACATGAGTTTCATTCAAGAATTTACCTGGCTGACCGTAAGCAACATTTTGATAACCAGGTTGAAGAAGTATTGTCGAGTTGTTTGGCCTTTGTCTACTTTTGCAGGCAATAAATATAATTAAAGCTACCAATAGTCCAATTCCAGTGACAGTTCCATAGGCAATTCCAAATCTATCAGCGTACGACCTGAAAAAAATCCAAAACGAAATTAGATAAACTTTTGACTCATATGATAGAGAGACACTGTTGTCTATATCCTTTATTCAATTTGAAAATTCTCGAATGAATGGGACATAAAACAATGTACAATCAATCAGTCCGTCAATCAATCAATCAACCCTTTTAAGACCCTTCTAGACTACATGTACTTACAAACTACTAATATTTGCTGTTCGTGTTTTCATCAAATGCAAACCTGACGTCAAAAATATAATGTAAAATAACAGAAAAAAAATCTTAAAGAAAAATGCATATGATTAAAATAGTGTTTAAATTGTTTTTTAAGAACCCATGTGTTCGTTCATATTATCCTAGCCTACCAATATGAGTTAATCAATTGAAATCTGAACATGTGTAATTCATGGTATCGTAAAGTTCAAGTTCAGCAATTCATCAATTGATGCTTGAACTATTTTAATGAAATTAAAATACATTGTATCTGGAGAGGATATACATTGTATTATGAAAGAAATTTGTGGGGGGAAAAATCAGTGTATTTTTCATAAGGGGAAAATAAGATAATAAGATAAAAAATAAATAAGATTAGCGTCCCTTACAAGGCGATTTCTCACCAATTTTTCATTTAAAAAAATTTAAAGTTCTTTTTCCCCCTTTGTTTTACTTGAAAACTGGTTTTGGGTAAACAATATGGACCTCCGATATATCACTGTACACGTAACTTGCAATGGTGTTAAAACTTTGCAAATGATAACAGAACTAATACATGTGCATCACACGCACTGCTCTTTAGAAATATTATTATTCAATAAAATTGTCATTAAATAACGATTTCCCAACATTAAACCGATTCAAAAATTAAACAAAAATATCTTAAGAAAGTTCAACGTATAACAGTATGTACCTTGAATTCTCACAAATTTTGTTTTATGATATGAAATAGAATTCAATCTATTTTCTTTCCTATGGCTAATAGTATATTTGTCAAATGAAAATAAGATGTGTATTTTAGAATCATTTCTACACGAAATGTACTTGTAATTTCCAAACTTTGGAAAATATTTTCCAAAATCGTCAAACATATCATAGCATACATAGAGGTTTTAATAGGATTTTTATTATAAATTCATTATTATTATTATTTATAGTACTTTTTGCATTTTCACTTTCATGCGTTTTGCACAAAAAGAATAAATTTCGAAATTCTTCATTGTTATTATGCATGCATTGCTTGACGCAGAAACAGAGGGGGAAAATATTCATAACGTCTTTTTTTCGAAGTCAATTTCCATTACATGCGTTGATTTTGTATGGAGGTAAACATAATAAACAGATTAACAGACCAATCAATACTTTAGACATACTTACAGATAATATCTACATATATAGGCGCTATATCTGTAGGAGTAGTAACTAGTGTAGCAGTACGTCCCCGCTTCACAGAAAAGAGGCAGACAGCAAAGCGCTTCAGAGATAAAAGACAACTATAATTAAGGAGGCAATATGGCTGAGTTTGTTATTTCCTCATTCTAATACATGTACACAGGTAGATACAGTACCAACCAGACCCAACCTGACACAAAGCAGTCCCAGAGCAGTCCCGGGGACTGCTTTCTGGGACTGCTTAAGCAGTCCCACAGCGGTCCCAGAGCAGTCCCAAAGCGGTCCCAGAGCAGTCCCCCAGCAGTCCCAGAGCAGTCCCCCAGCGGTCCCAGCAGTCCCAGCGGTCCCAGAAAGCAGTCCCAGCAGTCCCAGAAAGCAGTCCCAGCAGTCCCAGTGGGCGGGGTTAATTAATTTAATGGGCGGAGCTTACTCAGAATGAGATTATCAATAAACAATGTAACTATATAAAAGGCAGCTGAAATTGATGAGCAATTCTTTCTGAGTAGTATCAACAAATATTTACAATTCTTACGCAACAGTCATTTCTGAACTGTTAAGAAAATCACAGTACGCGTATATAAACAAATGGTAATTATTGAATGAAGAAGACGTTCACACCTATTAATAACATGAACATATTTATTTTTTTATATAGAAAATTAAACTTGAATTGTTTATTTCATACCAGAATTAGCTTTAAATAGATAATAATAATTATAGAGCAAGGCCGATTCCCATACTATATTCTGAATGCATTTTCATAAAGTATTGGAGCTTTTGAAAAATTCTTTGTTAAACATTGCCGAGTATTATATTTCAGTCATGATTATTTTCAATGACTTCCCAATTTAATTATCTTTAGATTCTCAGTTTTAAGTGTTTTATTATATAAATGTTCGAGTGTACATCTGTAAATCAGGCAAATGGAACCCTCAGATTATGTTCAAAATTAATTAATCCCGAAATAAATTTATACACAATTATTGAAACTAAGATTTTTTGCAGGACATAGATTGAAATTAGTGTCAATGTTGACCAGCGTGTTCAGTGATGTGTAACACTGATACCCAAATAACATACATTGACTTTCTGTTAATTATGCCCAAAGGCGATTGAAACCTCAGGTGTTGACACCATTTTATACAATCCCATTTTATTAACCGGCCAGGTAAACACAAACAAAAGAAATAAGAAACAAGTCACAATTCATATTTTCAAATGTTTGTTTTTTTAAATAAATGTACTCTTTTAATAACTTGTTCATAAATTAAAAACGAATTCATAAATAAATCCCCGAATAATTGTTCACATTGTTTATGTGACAGAAGAATGGTAGAATAATTTTATTTCATGGTCATTAAATAAATTACATGTATTAGGTTTTATTTGAGGGTGGTAAAAAATAGCATGGAGTGCTCTTTTTTAAGCATTGTATTAGCTTTTTCAATTAAGAAAAAAAATCCAGTACAGTACGTTCCTCTGAATACATGTATCTTACTGAAATGACAAGTTTGTTTGTTTGTTTGTTTGTTTTAAATAGTGCTAATGCAAACTTTGAGTACATATGTAATTTTACAGCATTAATTTATTAAATAGGCCTAGATAATTTTTTTTCAAACACCTGTATTGAAGTTTAATTTAAGGGATAAAAATCATCCCCTGACTTCCCTTTTTAACTACTTTTATTTTCTTAAAATCAATTCTATACTACAATTGTGTATATTTACAGCCTTCTGAAGACATTTAGTAATTACATGTATAACTATCTCTATTTATTTGATTTTTGTAAGAAATTAATACTGGTTTTTTTTAATATTTGTTTTTATCTTAAACACCTCACTGCAGAAAGTAAACAAAACAACAACAAGGAGCTGCAAATTCAGAATACACAAGGGGTGGAGCTATCATGTCACTCAGAACCTTTTTCACGCATGAGTGAACAAAGCAGTCCCAGAAAGCAGTCCCAGGGACTGCTGGGACTGTTGGGTCTGCTTTCTAGAGCAGTCCCACAGCAGTCCCAGAGCAGTCCCATAGCGGTCCCAGAGCAGTCCCACAGCGGTCCCAGAGCAGTCCCAAAGCAGTCCCGGGGACTGCTTTCTGGGACTGCTTTGGTGTCAGGTTGGGTCTGGTTGGTACTGTATGACACCCCCCTCCCAAAAGGAAACATTTTGAAATAGAACATATATATAAATATCAACTTTATTTTGAATGATGTACATGTATAATTAAAACCATTTAAAATTGGAGTAATTGAATTTCCATGGTGTTAAAAATTCAAACAATTCCATTATGGATGATTTATGACGAAACAAGGAAATGAAAACATTATTTGTTTATTCTTATTCTCGAGCGATGACGACTACACAGAAATTATTGATTCAATATAAAATAATTAATAAATAGTTGTGTAGATATACATCTTCATTAACTCATACTTAATAAATTGTTTTACATATTCATTACTTACCTATATAAAATAACAACATTTTTCTTCCCTGATTCGTCAACGTTTCACACCGACAAATTTTAAATTTAGATCATCATGTTATTAAAACTGCATAGGGAAATTATTGTAAATTATAAACACTGCTAACTATTTTCAGTGTATGTAAACAAGAACGCAAGCCAATCTAACCAGGCACATGTGCCGGTTAAATCGATTAAATGTTACAAAATTGTATGTACCTTGTGTTCTCCCTCTTTATAAGTGCTATCTTCCGGAACCCTACGGATTCAAAACGGGCAACAAAAATGAATTTTCTTAAATTGTGATGATATTACAAATTATCAATCTGAAATCACAAAGTTATCAAATGTAATGACAAATTAAAAAAATGTAATTACTAATAGCAATTTTATTATACATGAATTACAACTATTCATTCGAAATAAGAAATTCCAAATTTGCAAATTCAGATTTATAATTTGAAAAAAAAAAAATTGTAATTAAGAAGTACTATTTTCTCATTGCAGATAAATAGTTTAATTGTTATTTCAATTTAGAAAGGGTATTGTGCGACCCCAGCTTCCGTAGGATCCAATAACGCCATTTATCCGTTTTCCCCCTTAAGTTTTAGCTTTCAAAGAGACCTTGAACCTACCTCTGATAATTCTAAATATAATTTAAAGAAAATGCAATATTGAAAAAATAAGACGTAGTTAGATGTCTTGCAGATGTGTGATGCACGAGTTTTCGATGTTACAAATTACAATTATAGATGTTTCAGCGTTCAGAGTTGTGGCCCTTGTTCGGTGATAAAAAGTTTTTATCAGTTCCGCCTAAATGTGAGTTTTAAATTAAATTCAGTTGAGAAGGTGTGTGGAATGGATTTTAAAACGATAAGAACATAAAAAGGTGGGTTGTGCTTTGAAAATTCAGGGAGCAAAGCTGAAATACGTGAGCTATTTTGTGTTTGAATTTTATATGCTGGTATTAACGCTATGAACATTACTCACTGTGACCTGGATATGTGGTATGTTATTGTAGTCGTCCTAAACCTGAATTTTCAGTTATAAGGCTTATTAATCCAGGTACTGTTTAGTATGTAATTAGATTTGATTCCAAAAAGGTGTGTTGATATTATTGAATGAATTAAGTACTTATAATAAGAAATGGGGTCTTGAAGTTAATACAGATAAAAACTAAGTTTTAGTTTTTAGAAATGATAGAAGTTTACGAAATGAAGAAAAATGGGTTTACAATGGAAAAGAACTTGAAATATTAGATAGATTCAGTTATTTAGGAATGTGTTTCAATTATAATGGAAATTTAATATAACCCAAAAGCACGTAGCTGAACAGGGAAGAAAAGCATTTTATGCGTTGAACAAAAAATTATGCAACTTTGATTTTAATGTCGAAACCCAAATATCACTTTTTGAAATGTATGTCTGTAGTATTCTTAATTATGGAGCAGAGGTGTGGGAATTTCATAAAACTCCAGATGTAGAAAAAATACAAAGTCTCTTTTGTAAAAAGTTACTTCGTTTAAAAAAAAAAAGTGCCTGTAACAATCTTGTGTATTTCGAACTTGGAAGAATGCCTATGAGGGAATCCAGAAAATTAAAAATTATAAAATATTTTTTTGAAACTAAAGGGGACACAAAATATACTACTAAAATCATGCTTGGAAGAAAGATTAAAGAAAAATGGTATTTGGATCAGAGATATTCAAAATGAACTTAATTAACGGGGATTTGGCTATATATTTGATGCAGTTTTCAATTATAATACTTATATGTTAGTAAAACAAAGATTCCTTGAGGTGAATGACAATACTATGATTTCTAATATTTATAACAATGCACGTAGCCCGCTATACCAACATTTGGTTGATAATTTTAGTATACAATATTACTTGCGAAAACCTATTAATTATATGTACAAAATACAAATTGCTAGAATTAGACTGTCCATAATCTAAATGTTGAAACTGGTAGATATGTTAATGAAATTAGAAAAAAAAACAGATTATGTAAAATGTGCTCTTTCAATGTTGTCGAAGACGAATTTCATTTTATTTTACAATGTCCTTTTTATCATGACCTTAGATATAACTATTTGAAAAGGTATTATTATGAGAAATCCAGAGTTTGGAAATTAATTCAACTTCTAAGTGTACAAAATATAAAAGGAACTTTGTAATCTTGGAAAATATTTATATCAAGCTTCCATTAGAAGAATGAAACATTTGTAAATTTTTAAGTATTTTATAATTAAAGTTGTCTGTTAGAAAACACGTCCTACATAGTTACTTGCTATTTATTGATTATGCTCACTCTCATATTGTTATATTTTATAATATTGTATGTATGTTTAGTTATTACTATATGTAATCTGATGTGTCGTATGACGCAAAGAAATAAAGAACTTGAAAAACTTGATATCAGTGGTATTGTGGTATTGTGTAGTCCTTAAAAAAATGAGTGGATCTAACAAAAGAACTCTACAGGACATGTCAAAATCGTTTGCTGATGCGGCAGCTTGCACCTCCCAAAAAGTGAAGGAAGGATCGGTATCTTAAAACACAACCACTACCACACAGAAGCATCAAAATCCGTATCTAATATGCGTTTCAACGCCAACATTTTCATCTACTCATGCCTATTTAGATTTACACCACCAGCAGTTTAACCCTGGTTTTCAGCCCCACTATGTTTTAAATGCTCCTTTGACATTATCTCCATAGGATATTCTAAAAATTGCTGAGGCTGTTAGAGAGAGGTTCGTGAATCATTTCGCGAGGGAATTTCTTCCATGATTGAAAAAAAGTAGCCCCACTTCGTGAGGAAATAGACCATATATGAAATGAGAATAACGACATTCATCGACAGATTGATGAGCTTGAAGAGTACGGCAGACACCCGCTAATTTGCGATCGAGTATCAGGAATTCCTTAATCAAAAGGTGAAAACACCAATGAAAAAAATCCTAGAGGCTACATAAACCGCCGGAATTGAATTGTAAAAAAATGATATTATAAATTCTCACAGAGTTCGAAACCCCGAAAAATAACATTCAGAACTACGCCAAATCATTGCCCGTCTGAGACCTGTAGATTCTAAATTCTGTGCGCTCAGAAAATCTAGCAAATTTCATGAATGCGAAGAAACCCAGAGAATATCTCTCAAATCTAAAGATCTGTCTAAATTGCGGGATAGACTTCTCTCTCTCTCTCTCTCTCTGTGCGGACAGTTGTGTAGTCAAACACCTATATCAATAAAATATTCTTTTTCTGAAGAAATGCATTTATTTATTTACTTTATAAATCAATACCAAACGTTTTGGATTAAATTGCAACTGCAATACTGCAATGATTTGCAATGATATTCATGACAATCTATTTCTTCTTGGAGCAACTCTAGATCTGCAAGCTTACAATTACTTCATATGGGACAGAAGTTAAAAAAAAAATCATAGTTTACATACGTTTTACAAAAGTTGTATGAACAATCTAAAAATACCAACTTAAACAACTACAATTGTTTATTACGTATGGCAATGAAAGGTTTACTTAAAGATTGGGAATGCTATTCATCATTCAGATGTCATATTTGTTAAAAAAGAAAAGTATCTTCTAATGATTAATTGTCATGTTATGAAATATACATTCAAGAAATATATGTGTTACAAATAATAATTATTACATGTAC